AACATAAAATGAGAGTGCCAGGCTCACCTAGAGCTCCTGTGGGGAAAGAGCATGGTAGAGAAACCCACGATCGTTGCTCTTACCACCCAAATATGAATGCAAAACAACCGCTAACCAAAGGCATACATTAAGAACCTTTGCTAATGATAATTAAAACTGGACTTATTCAATTTCTCACTAAATGTCATCTCACTCAAGTCTGACATACACACTTCCAAGTAAAACTGTTATAATAATAATAGGGAAGGTACTGGAGTCCCATAATACGGGAGGCAATCCAGCTATAGTTGAGATTTCGGAGGAACAACAACAATAATAATAATAGGTAAGGTACTGAAGTCCCATAATACGGGAGGCTATCCAGCTAAAGTTGAGATTTCGGAAGAACAACACAATAATAACAATAATAATAATCATGGGTGAAAATGTTAGTAAATTCAACAAAGCTCTTACATACGTATGACATAAAGTGAGCACAAGAAATCAAAGAACAACGTAATCAAGACAAAACAAGTTAAATGTGAAACAAAGAAGTTGTTTTGCAATATCTGGGCAGACACGACAATATATACATATTTCAACTTGTAATAAATAATGAGCAATCGTTAATAATAATTGTAACAGTTTTATCTTAGAGAAATATACGCCCCTGAGCGTAAGACAATGAAGGCTAAACATATACAGAATTATTATCATGAAACATCTATATTTTACGTATAACGTAATCGTGGCAAAAACAAGTTAGATGGGAAACAAAGAAGTCGTTATTGTAATGTCTGGCAATCAGGACAATACATATATTTTTCACATGAAATAAATAATGGGCAAACTTTAAGTATAATTATAACAATTTTACCTTGGAAAAATATATGCCCTTGAACATAAAGCAATGGAAGCTAAACTTACAAAGAATTATTATCATGAAACATCTATAATCATCACAACCATAAGATTATATAGAACAATTAACAACAAAGTACTTAGAGAATACTACCTGCTAACTAATAACACTTTAAACAATTAACTTTTCACTACTTTGACACACTGTCCGCCGATCGTCTTACTGCCGATCTCCACACTGTTCTCACTTCAACTGCTTATCTTCAACTATTTAGGCTTCCTTCCAGAATTTCCTACCTAAGTGTTTGTTTTTACGCTTCCTTCTACCAACCGTTAATATTACTTTTTCATTGTTATACAACACCCATGTAACAGGTGACGTCGAAGTTGATAAGATAAGTACGGTTTTGCACAATATGTGTCATATGAAAGTTCTCATTTTTCTCAACAACTTTTATTAAAAAAGTTTTTCGATATCTCTTCCATAAAATGACATGTGGTTCGATCAAGTCTGTTACTGATTTTATCAGCGTTGCCGTGGAAAATAAGACACTTCCATCTTGTATTTATTGCTTGCTGTATTAGTCATTAAATTGGGCAGAAAAATTGGGGCCCTGATGTAGAACCTTCGGGAACAAATTTTAAAATAGGTTGGGTTGTCTAATTTTTCTAATTAATTTTGAACGGTTGATATTGTTTTTAATATGCGAGAGCTAAAAATTTACGTTTATCGAAAATTATTATCTGCCAGGAGTTATTTCTAGAGGAAATTTATGTTTACAGTAGACAGCGTGACACTGCATTTATTTTTTGGAACAGACTGGTGTCTAGAGCTTTTATTTAGTTGCTTGCGTCCTTCTGACACAGGCGAATCTGTTATCTCTAAAGAATTTATTTTCACAATATTGGTAAAACTAAACGCTAAAGATTAATTTAAATGAATCATATTTTAAGTCGTAGGTACTTTCAAAATATTATTGTTGTTATTGAATTGAATTCGATAATTTTAATAATAAGGTTAAAGTCTGCATTAATTTAGAAGTCTAATTTTTTTTATACACTTTTTTTATACATTTAAGTAATCGAAGTATGCGTACATATTGAAGCTTCAAGCTGTAAGCAAATGAACCAAACGAAAAAGTGTTTCATTACATCGACTATATTGTTCCTTTTACTATGGAGGAATTTACTTTACTGCCATTTATATTTTTATTACAGTGAGTTATGTCGGTTTTATAATATCCATAAACCTTCAATGGCTCCAAAAAGCTTCAATGATAAAAATTTTGAAGGTCAGGTTCAAGTGAAGAAAAAAAAGTTATAGTAGTAATTGTTTATTACACTTTTTTCATAATTATAAATAACCATTGTTCTACTTCATTAGGTAGTTATTTCAAGGCAGAGATTTAAATTCGAAATGGATAAAAATATTGTATTCGTTTGTTAATCGCTTTTAAAGGCCCCTAATAAACTGATAAAAAATATAAAGCAGTCCAATTTGTTTTTCCATTTGACACAACTAACAAAATTTAGATCATATGTGTATTAAAAGATTAGTAATTTTAAATAAAAAAAAACAAGAAAATATATAATATAGAAATATTTATTGGTCATTTCAACTTGTACACCCTGTATCTTGAAAATTAAGCCTACCCATGTTTCAAAATTTAGAACATTTAAAAATCCAAAATTTGAACATTTCAAATATACATACTTATATATGTACTTATTTTAAAAAATTCAAAAATCCAAAATTTCAAAATTTAAATACAAAATCAAAAATTAAAACATCAAATATTGAAAAATGCAATAATTAAAAAGATCAAAAATTCGAAATTCCTAAACTTCAGAATTAAAAACATTCCAAAATCCATAATTTAAAAAGTTCAAAATTGCAATTATTAAAATATTAAAAAATCCAAATTTTCAAAATTTGGAAATTTCTAGAATGCAAATTTTGAAATATTCAAAAATCAAAAAATCCAAATTTTGAAACATTCAAAAATGCAAATATTAAAAAATTCAACAATCCAAATACGAAGATTCAAACTCAAAATTTCAAAACCTAAAAAATTAAATCCAAACATTTAAAAATTCAAATATCCAAAATTTGAAAATTTCAAATATGCAAATTTTAAAAAATTTAAAAATTAAAAAAATCCGAAACTTCAAATATCCAAATATTCAAAATTTAAAAAATTTAAAAATCCGAAAATTCAAAATTTAAATACAAATAATTAAAAATTCAAAAATCCTAAATTTCAAAAATTAAAATCAAAATTTGAAAATTTCAAAACAAAATCCAAAACAACTCAAAATTGAAAAATTCTATAATGCAAATATGTATTACAATATTCAAAATTCCAAAATTTCAAAATTTAAAAAATTTAAAAATCCAAATTTTCAAAATTTAAAAAATTTAAAAATCCAAATTTTCAAAATTTAAAAAATTTAAAAAATATAAAATCTCCGATATATGAAATTCAAAATTGCAGTTTAAAAACGATTCAAAAATTAAAAAATCCAATTATTTAAAGATTCAAAATCCTACATTTCAAAAATTAAAATATTAAAAAATCAAAAAATCCGAATATTAAAAAATTAAAAAATCCAACTATTTAAAAATTAAAAAATCCGAAACTCCAAAAATCCAAATTTTCAAAATTTAAAAAATCAAAAAATCCGAAAATTCATTAAATAAAAAATCCAAATATTTAAAAATTCAAAAATCAAACTTCAAAATTTAAAAAATTCAAAAATCAAAAGATCCGAAAATTCAATATTTAAAAAATCCAAATGTTTAAAAATTCAAATATCCTAATTTTCAAAATTTAAAAAATTAAAAAATCAAAAAATCCGAAAATCCAAATATTTAAAAATTCAAAGATCCTAAATTTCAAAAATTAAAATATCAAGAAAATTCGAAAATTAAAAAATCCAAATATTTAAAAATTCAAAAATCCAAATTTTCAAAATTTAATAAATTAAAAAACAAAAAATCCTAAATTTCAAAAATTGATATATCCAAAATTTGAAAATTTAAAAAATTAAAAAAAAAATCCTAAATTTCAAAAATTTAAATATCCAAAATTTGAAAATTTCAAAACAACAAATTCTAAAAACAATTCAAAATTGAAAAATTCTACAATGCAAATATGTATTACAATATTCAAAATTTCAAAATTAAAAAATTATTTCCGAAATTTGAAAAATTAAAAAATTCTCAAAATTTAAAAAAAATTTAAAAATCCAGATTTTCAAAATTTAAAAAATCAAAAATCCGAAATATGAAATTCAATATTGCAAATTATAAAAACTTCAAAAATCCAAAATTTCAAAATTTAAAAAACTAAAAAATCAAAAACAAAAACTATTTCAACATTTAAAAAATTCAAATATCCAAAAATTTAAATAAATTCAAATTATAAAATTAAAAAATTCAAAAATCTAAAATTAAATTCAAAAATTAAAATCCAAAATTGAAAAATTCAAAAATTGAAAAGCCAAACCTACAACTATTATTACTACTGTTGTTGCTATTGCTGCTGCTGTTGTTCTTGTTCCTGCTGCTGCTGTTACAGCTACAGCTGTTGATGCTCCTCAGTAGAAGCAGTCTACTGCTACTATGGCTGCTGCTACTGCTACCACTACACCTACTAATCTGTACGACAAGTGTGACAAGTGTTACAGCACTTTAACATAACATAACCTTAAACATTTTGTTTGAAATTTGAAGAAACGTTACCTATTTTGCATAATAAAATGAATAATGTGAAGTTTAAGCTTCAACAGTTCTGAATTATTAAAAAAACGACATTTTAATACGAACATATCCCATAATTTCGTCAGTCCTATGCTCAAGTAACCACCACATGCGCCTTGACCCACCAGACTACAATCAAGTGGGTTTAGCTGATGGATGATCTTAACTGTTGTAAGTTATAGTTCAATGCGGTCCAGGTGTTTATTTCGTGCAATGTCATGTTTAAAAAATGTTTCGCAGGTCGCTTTCTGTCAGCTCGAAATGACCATTCATAGTTACATCTCATCTACGCCAACATTGTTACTGGTTTCCTGGACTGTTACGTTCTTCCATTAAATTAGTCCGTTTCGATTAAATTTTAACTTACAACAAAGGTTTTATTTTATTTCCGTTTTAGGTGCAAGGTGAACGATGTGCTAGTCGCCTCCAAATGGTAGCCAATTCGATAGCGTGGATGGCCAGGAATCTCTCGTTCGATGAGACCTTTATATCACCCTTTGCTGAAAGTGCTTTCGCTAACGGTATTAATACAATAGGTGAGTTAACGTCCAATTTTAGAATGTAAGATCCAACGTAAATAAAGCCAGCGGACGATGAAGCAGAACAAATTTTTTTCACGCAAACGATTATGCAGAAAAAATTAATTACTTGTAAGGTCATTTACCGGTTTAATTAAAAGTTTGCTATATAGAAACCGCTGCATGAGCACTGAGGATATTTTTCTGCCAGTGTATTTTGTAGGGCCCCAGGACAACATGGTACTATTAAACTGACTAAAACTAGATTTAATAAACATATCAAATTTGTACAACGGCTACCCACTCGAGATACTTTAACGATTCTGCAATTATAAAGTGGTTTCCACAAGTTTTAATTCCACAAGTTGGTAGGGGACGTGATGTCATATTAGTTGGTAATTGACGTGTTTATACATGTTATGATGCGTGTACAGTAGCGGACAAAAAAAAGTATATGATCTAAAACGTTTTTTAAATGTTTTAGGCTGTAAAGGGCAATTTTAATGGGGTGCTAAAATTCTGGGGGACATTGAAATTCAGTCGGTATTCTGTAAATTGCAAATCGTTTAAAATTTGACAGACATCCGTTATTTTAATAATAGTATAATTTATTATTTGAATAGGAACATTGAATTTGAAATGCGTACACAGCCTGTATTTATTTAAAAAACAGCTTTAAATCGAGAATGTCCTCAGTGTTAAGACACCGTTTCCATTTGCGTCTCTTTACGGTAAACGCTGTACCTGGAAAATTAACCACAATGTCTCCTTGTTCTGCTTCGTCAGTCAACTAGCTTGTTAGGCCAACCAATAGAACGAAAAAAGAGGCTGTTTTTACGCTTAAATATTACAGCAAATTTCATGTGTTTCCTTTTGAAAAATACTTGGTAAATGAAAACCCAAGTGATTTCCCCAGCAAAGTCGTGAACAATTTCTTAAAAAAAAAAACTGCAAAAAACTTAAATTTTTTTGTTTTTTTTACAATATCTCAAAAAATAATGATGGAATCGTCTTACTCTCAAAAGGACTTTTGTAGAGAATAAAAAAAAAAACTTATAAAAATGTTTTTTTGTGCCACCCGATCGGTTCATTTTTTACAGATAAAATCCGGGAAAGCCTCTAACATAGACCTTTTTTCAAAAATTTTTCACTGTTAAATTTGAAGCTAAAAAAACAATTGCGGAAAATGACATAATATTGTAGTTTAATCGAGTGCAATATGATTTCTGTCCGATGCATGGTTTTTACACGATTGCATTATAAACAAATTAGGGTATTTTTTTTTCTTTCAAAGCCTGGCGATTTATCAAAAATGGTCCGATTTGAAATTCCGGAACACGGCATCTGAAAGTAGACGGCAAAATCTCCAATTTGTATATCTCGGATTTTGGCCTGGGTGATGGGAAATATGCTAAAAATGTCCTTGAAAGTCGCCCGAAACGATCGGAAGTACTCTTGAGCCATAGTCGAGTAGTGATAGTGGGGAAAGTAGCGAACGGAGGACTCTGGCTTGACCGTAGTTTTGATCGTTTCGGGCGACTTTCAAGGGCAATTTTAGCATATTTCCATCAACCAAGCGAAAATCCGAGATATACAAATCCGAGATTTTGTCGTCTACTTTCAGATCCCGTTTTCAGAATTTAAATCGGACCATTTTTGATAAATCATAACGCTGTGCAAAAAAACACCCTAATTTGTTTAAAATGCAATTGTGCAAAAACTATGCATCGGACAGAAACCTTGTTGCGCACGATTAAACTACATATTATTATGTGTCATTTTCCACAAGATTGTTTTTCCAGCTTCAAATTTGACGGAGTTATGAATTTTCGAAAAAAGTTCTATTTTAGAGGTTTTTCTGGATTTTCTCTGTAAAAAATTAATCGATCGGGTCGCACAAAAAACCATTTTATAGGTTTTTTATTCTCTACAAAAGTCCTATTGAGAGGAAGACGATTCCATCATTATTTTTCGAGATATAAAAAAACAAGCAAATGTCATTTTTTTTGCAGTTTTTTTTTTGTTTAAAATAAAATTGTTCAGGACTTTGCTGGGGAAATCACTTGGGTTTTCATTTACTAAGTACTTTTCAAAAGGAAATACATGAAATTTGCTGTAATACCAAAAAAATCTCTATTGGTTGGCCTGTGTCGAAGCTGTACAGAGTGTTCCAAATCGAGCACCCGTTATTTTGTATCTTTAAATGAGGATGTCGTTGACGAGCCTCAAACTAGGAACGTTTTGTACAGAAAACTATGCCCCTGGCGTATTTCAAATGAACATGCGTTTATTTTTAGGTGGAAAGCCGGACGACATCACTGTTATACTAGCAACGGTTGCAATATGAAGCCTTAGAACACGTAGGTAGCATCTATATGGCGTATCACATTAAACCAAATCGTTCGTAATAACTTTTCGAATTGTCATTTTTCCAAATAAATTATCTGGTATCGGAGAAATATATTTAATTTTAAAGTTAAATCGTTTTCCACGATTCCAAACGTGGCTGATCACAGTTTTTTCTATACATTTCAAATTGCCGACTTCAGAGAAACAATTGATTAAAATTACATATTTTTGTACCCAAATTTCAATTAAAATATTTTTTCTAAATGAGAATGATATTTTATCAGTAAATGTAAAATATTTCCACTATGAATTTCCGAAGATCCCTTTTGGATTACGTGACGTCCCTCAATAAAGCTGTTAGTTGAAATATATTTAACTGGGATTTTCATCTTTCAGTGCTTAAACTTACCTTGGCAGGCAACACCACACGACAACGTAGGAAGGCTTCCTCAGTGCGCTGTCGTAACAATTTTTTTTTGTGGGAAAAAAATATAAACCGTTTATTTTGTGTATAAGTCGCTTACAGAAATGTTTTAATTTTTATCAGGACTGTGCTTGAGATGAGTTGGTGCTCTGTTAGTACCGTCTGTTTATATACAATGATTTTTTTACGTAGTAAATTTGAAGAAATAATAAAAACCGATCAGAGCAAATAAACAAAGACAGAACAGTCACTTTCGAATTAAATGACTAGAAAATGGTAATATCAGTCAGAGTTAGGGATGAAGATACTAGATGACGCCTCTCCATTAAAATCCCTGTTAACCTCGACAGGGATTCTGTGACAGAGTCGCCATCTAGTATTGCCATTCCTAAGTTGGACTCGAGTGGTTGTCGCCACATTTCATTTTGTTTAAATCCTTAGAAAAAAACAGACTGTATCAAGCAGTGTCTCCATAAAAATTGTTCGGATTCCTTCTCAAGGCTACTTTAATTTTGTCTAATAAATTATCTTAAGATTAGGACGAGAAATTTCTGCAGCGCTGCCGTAACGTCACGATCCGGATATCATAGATTGCGACTCGCCGTTTGACGTTTTTTTCGTGACGGAACGAGAGCGCTGTCGAAATATCCACGTCCTACCAAAGGCTGTTGTCCGGCGTGTTTTAACAGGCCCGGGAGTCCCGCATCGGACGGGTCTCGACGGAATTAGACGAATTCATCACCGGGTGCCCATCGAGGCTCGCCGTTTTGGCGGGCGCTCCCGGGTTAAAAGGTGATCGTAAAACCAAATGACTTGTCGACCTAATATTTAGGTTTAAAAGAACTTGCGTTTAATTCTTGATGTATACTCAACAGAACACTTGTTTCTTTGCAGGTTTTTTTTAGTTAAATAAATAGTTGTTATCGAGATATTTGTTTTTCCTGCGGCTAGCCCTTCAACGGACTTCCCAACTGGCGCGTAGTGTTGTAAAAAGCACGGGGATTTATTTACAGAGAATTTTAACGATTACTTACAAATTACGAAATTATCATTTTCGGACGTTTCGAAGTAATCGAGGGGTTCAGGTCTTTTTGGGACACCCTGTATATATTTAAACATATTAAAATGTTTCAATTAATTCAGACATTTACGAAATGTTCAAGGAATTTTGGAAATGGAATGAGAGATTGAAGTTATTTCAAGAATTTCATATATTTCAAACATTTTTAAAATTTTACGCAGTTTAAAAAATTTCGATGAAATATTTAATTTTTATGAATTTGATGAAATTTAACCACAGTATACCGACATAATTTTTATATTCTTCCAAATGTGATGTTAGGGAAGATATACAGGGTGTTAACTTTTAGTGGGGGTCATATTTATACACAGGCTTCCTTAGACCCTTAGAATCACGTAAGTTTATTTTTTCAAATTTTCTCTTAAAAATTTTTTTTGACCCTTTTTTAATAATTTTCGCACCCCGCCGCTGGAGAAGCTAGTGTAACCTCAAATAACGGCGCACTTTAGTCGCGGTGCTTCACAATTTCACAACATCCGCCGCCAGTTACTTTCGTTGAGTGGATGTTCGCCACACAAATAGTACTTAAGAAGTAACTTTGCCAAAAACCCAAACAGTAATCAATATTCATAAATGAAATGCACAAAAATAGTCTGTTGATGGCTTCCAGCGATGGAAAACATTAAAATTCGCAGTTAAATGTACTGTCTCCAAATGCAGAACAACTGACGCCCTTCACTTCGTCACCGTCGACCCACACTATCTCCCTTCACACGCACTGAAAGTTGCTTACAATTCATAAAACTAAAACTACTAGAGCAATCTTAATTCCGTAAATGGAAAAGTTGTAGGAAATTAAATTTCAAAGAAAATGAGAGGTCGTCCGATTGGATTGGTTGATTAGAACCGGAGAAAATCTGGAAAATTCGGAATTTGTTTAAAAAATTCATAACTTTGTCATTTATGAAGATTACGAGCTGAAATTTGGCACAGAAGTAGACAATTATATCAACTTCAAGTGTGCAAAAGGCAGACGCAATTGCAATTTTAAATTTTTTTATGCATTTTTTTGCCGGTAGCCTGCTTGCGTTGAAAATGGTCCGATTGTAATTCGAATACCGATTTTCAAAACTGGAAGTAAAATACTACAAAATGTATATTTCAAGTTTTCGTTAAAATGCAGCAAAATGGATGAAACATGCACTGGAACATCGGTGCAAACGGCCGAGTTATGCCGTTAGTTTTTTTGTCACACAAAAAACCTATATTGACTGGCATACCTAAAAAACTGGCCCTCCACTTAAAATTTACACCCCGTATAAAAAGAGGATATCAGTTACTAGTCCAACCAAATTACACTTGGAGAAAAAAAATTGTTACCTGGCTTTTATAAGTGGAAATGGTGAAAGGGTTTATAATAAACTTAAAAAAATGAATGCATGAGCAGGGGTGATGGAGGGTTGATTTGGGGGGTTGAAAAGTTATGAAAAATTGTATCATTGGGATTTCTGGCGAAAGTTGACGTCAAACAAAAAAGTATCCAATACAAAAGTCGTAGATCATGCAAAAATCTACAACTTTTGTAGAGGTCACGTTTTAAAATAACCTCAAAATTTCATTTCCGCAAAAATAATTTAATTTTGTCGAAATTTGGTGAAAATATACCTTTATGTCTTAAACAACCGCAAATTTTTTTTGGATAAAAAAATCAAGCAGTTTCCAAGATATTCATTTTTTCCTGTCTGAAACACTTTTTTTACAAAGAAAAATTCTACTTGGGAAAATCATCGTACAGAGTTCTGCCATTGATAATTTTTTTCGTGGAATAAAAAAATCTAATCACAGTTCAAAAACATGCTCAAAAATGCAAAAAAAAATTAAAAATACAACGATGAATTTTTCAGTTATCGTTGATAAGTAATTTGTTTAAATTTAAAAGAAATTCAAAAACTGATTACACCATTTAATTGTATGGAAAAAATACAAAAAAAAACTGATTGTTTGACCCAAAGTTTTATTTTTGTACAGTATTGCTATAAATAAATTATATCTGGATGATTTGAGATTTCAGCAATACAAAGTATTAACAGCAAAGTCTACTGTTGACGAGAAACCCACAAACCCAAAATTTTGCAAAATCGTTTTATTTTTTTTCTGGCTTTACTTGAAAACGAATTTTAAAATAAATTGCATATTTACATTGCCACTTTTTTCGCTCTATCCAATGGCGTCAAAATTTTTGCAATCCGACGTTTCGTCTTTGAGGGGCCATCATTTTAATTTTTTTAAATACGTCGCTGCTATTTTTATGACAAAATCGTTATTTTTAATTCAGAATTAGATATTACTATTGTAATAGCTTCTTAAAAAAGTTTTTAGCTGTCGTTAAAAATTTTTCCTGAGAACGGCTCTGAATATTTTCAAAATACCTATTGGACAATTTTTTTTAATCAATAATTTAAAAAGTTGTACCTAATAAAAATATAATATGGATTTATGAAATGTTTTATTATTTTTAATTAGTATTGCTAATAGTAGTAAAAAAAAATTATTGGATATTCGGCGTTCAGAGCCGTACTCAGGAAAAATTTTAAATGATGGCTAAAACAAGCTAAAAACTCTTTAAGCGATTACAATAGTAATATCATCTAATTCAAAATTAAAAATGACTAGATTTTGTCATAAAAATAGTAGTAATAGTAGTATTTAAAAAAATTAACCTGATGATGGCCCCTCGAAGACAAAACGTCGGATTCCAAAAATGTTGACGCCATTGGATAGAGCGAAAAAAGTGGCATTGTAAATATGTAATTTATTTTAAAAATCGTTTTCAAATAAAGCCAGAAAAAAATTGAACAATTTAGCAAAATTTCGGGTTTTTCCAGATATCTCCGGAACTGCCCGAAATTTTAAAACTTTCTAAACGGCATATTATTAGGTATAAAAAAACACAACTTTTTTCTAATCTACGCCACCCCGTATCTTTTACGTCCTAAGATCCTAGATCCTAATGCTATCCTATACTTATCTTGGACACACTGTATATCTATGAATTCATCAAAATTTTAAAAAAATATGTACATTAATCGATCCTACAGAAAAAAAAAATATTTATTTTATTTATTCACTATTCAACTTATGTTTATAGTAATACTGTACGAAAATAAAGTTTTGGGTCAAACAATAGGACAGTTTTTTTTTGTATTTTTCCCATACAATTGAATGGTGTAACCAGTTTTTGATTTTTTAAAAATTAAACAAATCGACAATAAATACTGAAAAATTCAATGTTGCCTCATTTTTTATTGTTTTTTTGCATTTTTGAGCATGTTTTTGAACTGTGATTACAGATTTTTTTATTCCACTAAAAAGTATGTCAAAACGAAAGAAATGATCACCGGCTGAACTCTGCACAATGATTTTTCAAAGTAGAATTTTTCTTTGAAAAAAAAGTGTTTCAGACCAGAAAAAATTATCTCGCAAACTTTCAGATTTTTCTATCTAAAAAAAATTGTGGTTATTTAAGACACAGAAAGGTATACTTTCACCAAGTTTAGTCAAAATTAAATTATTTTTGCGAAAATGAGAAATAAAAAACGAAAAATAAGAAAAAAACTGTTTTTCGCATTTTTCTCGGTAATTTTGAAGTCATGTTAAAAAGTGACCTCTACAAAAGTTGTAGATTTTTGGATGATCCACAACTTTTGTATTGGACACTTTTTTGTTTGACGTCAACATTTGCAAGAAATCTCAACGATACAAGTTTTCACAACTTCTCAACCCCCCCCCTCCCCAAATCAACCCTCCACCACCCCTGCTCAATCATTTATTTTTTTTAGGTTTATTATAAGCCCTTTTACCATTTCCACTTATAAAACTTCAGGTAACAATTTTCTTTTTTTTCCCTCTAAATGAGTTATTTCGATCGGTCTATACAGGGGAATCACGTACAGGAATGGGAAAAATCCAAAAACGAAAACGAAATTTTCTGACGACGGTTACTGCTTTTACAACATTATCGCTATATACCTTACCCAGGCTGAAAGATCGTAAACAGTCGTTACGTTGCACACGTCAATTTTTATAATGAAATTTTATTAAATATTTCCCATACAAATCATACAATATAATATAGAAAAGAAAACAAAAAAAAAACTAAGTCGTACACCTGCAGACTATATCACAAAATAAATGGGAACCTTCCTTTGTATTTCAGTATATAAATATTCCACAATTACAAGAATGAACAAAAAGAACTTTTCCACTTAATAATATACATCTACGCCAGTATTAAAATTGTCCACCCGCATTTATGAAACGCATCGATACTGACTGGTACGAAAATTATCATTGCCGATCGTTGGCGTCCGGCTGCTGCTGTTCCTGGTAGTCGGCGTCTCCCTCCGCCTGATTGTCCTCCCCGTTCTCCTGGTTCCCCCACTCGAATCCGCCCGGACGTTCTTCTGGTAACCTTTGGTAATCTGCGTCATCGGGAGCGGGATCAACCAACGTCTTTCTGCGATGGAAAGACGATGTGTTAGCATGTTTAAAGGCAATAATGATTGGAGAAAAATTAAAAAATGTATTTGATTGTTAGAATTATTTAAATTTATAAGTTTCGCTGCTTTCCAACAGATGACGATACTAGAACTGCAAAAACTGCGATGAAAAATGTCAAATTTTAAGTCAATATAAATAACGCACTGAATATTCGGGAAAGTTTCTCGTAAAAAGTATTTGTTGATATTTTTTTCAAAGCACTGTGCTTAGTTTGTGATTCTCAATGTCAATGACCTCTGACATTGACTAATTTCTGTGAACTATGGGCAAGAAACAAATGCCCAACGTTAATTTGGCGTCATGGCCAACTACGTCACCGTTTTATTTTAACAAATTTAAAGCTATTATCGATGGAACTAAGGTACTTACAGTAATGACGGTGTTTTTAATATCTTAAAACCTCCTCTTTGGTTCGGAAAGACGTCTTCTAAGAAGTAGTAGATATGCCCCACTGCGATCCCCATCAAATCCACATAGACTGCGTTACCCAGCAGGACTGAGAATGCCAGCAAAATCCAAGGTAGGTAAGGCGCCTAAAAGAACGCCGTTAGTTTTATAAAACTTGAGCATAAGGAAGCAGGAGTAAATATTATTTCCTTCCCGATTTTCCCCTTTTTAACCATTATTTGCACCCTTCACAGCTCTGTTCATATTTTTTGTCGATTTAAAGTCGTCCGGTTACATAAAAACCCGTACTTAGAGGGAATCAAGCACTCTAATAACACATGATAGAAACGTTAAAAATTTGAAGTGACCTTGCCTCAGAAAATAGATAAGTTTAATTTTTATCGTTTATGTCCAGTATTATCAGTATCGGACGGAAATATACACTTTTAAACTACACTTTAGTAATTTTTCTTAAAAATCAATTGCTCGAATAATAGTTGGTCAAGAACCAGGCAGCCTGTTTTACTTTAACTCCTTATTTCAAAACGTAATCAATTTTAGATGACTTTATCCGAATCCCTTGATTCCATTTTATAATTTTTAACCAGACGCACAGTGGGAAATATTGGAAAAAATTCGAGCCACGCGTCAAAACTAATCTAAATTTAATTCTTTCCGAAATTGCCTGTACTATAAAGTCCCGGTGAGGTAATTGGAATATATGCCTAGAATTTTTTCAAAATGGCCGAGTAATCTAGCCACAAACTCGATCATGCAAAGTTTGACATAAAAATAAAAAAAAAGAAAAATTATGTACTAAAAGCTGCCAAACAAAAAAAAAATCATAAACATTAAACATATTCCTAAATCATGAATCTAACCCAAAACATAACCTCAAATATTGGCACACTCGAACGTACCATTTTTATGGATATATACTCACACGTTTAGAAAAAATTGAGTATGTTTGTTTTAGGTTAAGATTTATAAATTTGAGGTTATGTTTTAGGTCTAGATTCATGATTTAGGAATGTTTGATGTTTATGATTTTTTTTTTGTTTTGGCAGCCTTTAGTACATAATTTTCCTTTTTATTTCATTTTTAGATACCGAATATGTCAAACTTGGTATGATAGAGTTTGGGCTAGAGATTACTCGACCATTTTGAAAAAATTCTAGGCATATATTCCAATTACCTCACCGGAACTTTATAGTACAGGTAATTTTGGAAACAAAAAAAAATCTGTACTATTTAATTAGTTTTGACGCGTGGCTCGAATATTTTCTAATATTTCCCACTGTGAAATGGTTGGAAAATGGTCCCTGTTCCAAAAAAAAAAAAAAGATTTCGTGAATTTTCAATGTTTTTAGTAGGCATTTTTTTTCTTAAATCTATTGAAATATGGTCCTTTGCTTGTAAAATGTAAATTTATTCCTGTATTCCGGGATATTTTATCAAAATTTTTCCAAAAAGCCATTTTCTTTACTTTGTTGTCAGTTTTGTGATTCTATTTTCAATCTTTAATTGGGGCGTAAATATCTGTTTTCGATTAAAATTATGCATTAATAGGCCAACCGATAGAGATTTTTTGGCACACTTAAATATTACAGCAAATTTCGTGTATTACCTTTTGAAAAATATTTAGTAAATCAAAACCCAAGTGACTTCCCCAGCGAAGTCCTGAACTATTTTTTTTAAACAATAAAAACTGCAAAAAAATGACGTTTATTTGTTTTTTTAATAGGACTTTTGTTAGGAAATAAAAACTCCTATAATATGTTTTTTTGTGTGACCCGATCGGTTCATTTTTTTTACCGAGAAAATCCGGAAAAACCTCTAAAATAGATTTTTTTTCAAAAATTCGTAATCGTCAAATTTGAAGCTGGAAAAACAATTTTGCGGAAAATGACATGAAATGTAGTTTAATCCTGCGCAAGACGGTTTTTGTCCGATGCATAGTTTTTGCACAATTGCATTCTAAACAAATTAGGGTATTTTTTTGCACAGCGTGGCGATTTATCAGAAATGGTAAATGGCATCTGAAAGTAGACGACAAAATCTCCAATTTATATATCTCGGATTTTTGCCTGAGTGATGGGAAATATGCTAAAAATGCCCTTGAAAGTCCCCCGAAATGATCGAAAGTATGCTCGAGCCAGAGTCCTCCGCTCACTGTTTCCCCCACTACCACTACCCGACTGTACTTTCAATCGTTTCGGGCAACTTTCAAGGGCATATTAGCATATTTCCTATCACCCAGGCAAAAATCCGAGCTACACAAATTGAGATTTTGTCGTCTACTTTCAGTTACCGTTTTCAGAATTTAAATCGGGACCATTTTTGATTAATCGCCACGTTGTGCAAAAAAAGACCCTAATTTGTTTATAATGCAATTGTACAAAAACTGTGCATCGGACAGAAACCGTCTTGCGCACGATTAAACTACATATTATTATCTGTCATTGTCCACAAGGTTGTTTTTCCAGCTTCAAATTTGACAGAGTTATGAATATTTGAAAAAAGGTCTATTTTAGAGTTTTTTCCAGATTTTCTCTGTAAAAAATAAACCAATCAGGTCGCACAAAAAACCATTTTATAAGTTTTTTTATTATCTACAAAAGTTCAATTGAGAGTAAGACAATTCCATCATTATTTTTTGAGATATAAAAAAAAAAGTCATTTTATTTGCTTAAAAAAAATTGTTCACGACTTTGCTGGGGAAATCGCTTGAGTTTTCATTTATAAGTATTTTTCAAAACGAAATACATGAAATTTGCCATATTTAAGTGTAAAAACAACCTCTTTTCTCACTCTATTGGTTGGCCTATAAGGCCTATAAAAAATGAAAATATTTATGATTAAAGTCAATCAACAATTAGTCGAAAACAACAAAAAAATAGTTTGCAATTATTTTTTCGTTGTCTCAAATCATAAAATTAAAATTATTTTGCCATTGGTATAGTTTAGAATAATTGTTTATCAGATTCGAAGCAAGTTGACCACAAAGCAAAAAATTATTGATGGTGTTTGAGTCTTAAAATCAAAGAATTTACTCAATGTTCGGAAACTATTGCAGACATTTTTTTTTTATAAAATTTCCCTTGATTAGAAATATCTTAAACGATGGATTAAATTTCTTGATAGCTCACGCCAAATTAAATAATTTTTGAATTGTGCACCATTGATAAGAAAACAATATGCATATTTATATCTAAGTGCTTACTTGGAAGTTTAAAAGTCCAAAGAAATTCATCCTGACGTAGGGATTTCTTCTCGACCACACATACACTAACATTATAGTAAAGGCTTGACCTAAAAATATTAGATTTACAAAGAATGCGAAAGCCTGTCCGTCATTAAGGAAAATTTGATGCTTCACGTATCGCTTGGATAGAATTTTACTTTTTTTAAAAAGGATACAATCATGCACACTGCACCAAACATAAACATCAGTACAAAATCGGCGGTCCTATTTCTAAACGACCCTTCTTCCAGCATTCGACAATATCTGTAGGTAAATATCATGTTGAAGAAAAAATTGAAGCCAAACGTCCCAAAGAACAGGAATGTCGTCACTAGCCTCCATACTTGACCTTGTTTTATGATCAGAATCGGGTTGAAATACAACTGGAACGGGGAGGCTAGCTCCAATTGCTAAAAGTATAATTCGGTGGTCATTATTATATCCTAAACATAAAACATATCTAGTAGTCACAAATCATTTAACACTCGTTTCTGTTACATTAAAAATGTGTGGTTTTAATAACTTCAGCTAAAAATAACTTGCTTAAATAAATCTTATTACTTACAACTGCTAAAGTTGTGATAACACATGCAGTGGTGTATGCCCTGGTCACGGGGGGCATATTCAAATACTCATTTCGCAAATTCTGATACGCCATTTCGCTCTGATCCGTTGCAAATTGTTATATCACGACATTATAACTGGGAAATTGCGAAAATCTTCTAGAAGTCACAGTCGTTTTGGCCACATCAGTATATTTACTTATCGTATTCACGACTTCGAGTAGCTTATAATCTGACAAATGACAAACTTACATGACAGATCGGAATTGGGGATTTTAAATTTCGTTATGTTGCCTATCCTGTCTGTTAGGATTCCATTCTAAAGCGGACCATACACGTCTGCAAAGAATTATTAGCGATTTAAGTAGCCACTACACTATATACTTTTGATGATTTATTGATTTATAAGCATTTTATTTAATAAAATAAATTCAGCATTTAATTTTTCAAATAAATTATGTGCACAGTGAGGAAATATTTTGTTGAAGAGCGGCAACCAGAATTAAATATTACAATTTTCTATGCATTTTATATGTATAATTACTTATTTCTTTTAGATAAAGGCCCTATTTTCATTGTTTTGTGGGTTTTCATATTTTCGTAAAAACATAAGACAAAAAAAAACTTGTTTTTTTGTCAATTTTCTGCTCAATTTTCAAGAAAAACTGAATGTTGAAATTATTGTCTCAGTATATTTATTCATTTAAGAGACATGGAACTGTTTTTTGGGCGTTTTCTACTATGCTCAATAACTTTTTTATTTGTAAATATTTTCGGTCTTTGTAGATTCTGCTGATAGATTCTGATGGCGTATGTGGTATTTTACAATAACCTTCGATTTTTCTGTTGCAATCTCTGTTACGCATACACTTTCCTTCAGGTCAAATTTTACATCGCCCAATACTACAACTGCATATATTATCCACATATGTAAAAATACGGATATATCTACAATATGTGTTGTGATTTTTGCAATATAGGCAATAAAAATCTAGTTTCCTATAACTTTTATCACTCCACTTTAATTCCGAAGAGTAACGAACAATATACAGGGTGTTTCAGGGTTAAGTAGACAACATTTGAAGTCTTGTTCCTTTGGCCAAAATAAGTAGAAAAAAGTATGTAAACATAGCGCCGCAAACGCTTTGTTTTTGAGATAATAATAAAATAAAATAAATAGTTATATATTTTAATATCTTGAAAGTGAGTAGAGATATTTAAGTAAAACTTTATGATAAAGTTATACTTAAATATCACTGTTCGTTTTCAAGATATTAAAAATTATCATTATTTTTATGAAATTCTAAACATTCTGTATCTCGAAAACGAAACGTTTCCGGTCCTATGTCTAACTAACACAAATGCTGTCTTGCTTCACCATAACACAAATAATGCTTCACCATAAATTAAAACGATATACATCAACTCCGAGTTGCTATACATGCAAGCCATTTTTGACATTAAGTACTTAAAAAACTATTGTAAACACTATGGCAACGACGACTGTAAAATCGGTTTTTAGTATTCGGAGTCGCTGAGGCCACGTGGCTCTCCACGCGTATTACGAATGGAGCTAGAAACTACAGTTGTCCAACTATGTAATGGTTGAAAGTACTACAACTTCAATAATTTTTTTCTCGGAAACTATAAGGATTTCACAATTTTTCTTGACGAAATTAACTGCATTTCTCATGCCGCATCTATTTCCAATTTTTTTTGGTTGTGAATCACCCTGTCTACATTTCCTTTATATACAGTTTTGAACAGAGGGAAAACGTCTTCAAAGTTTGTCGACTTAATCCTGAAACACCCTGTAGAGTGGCATTTTTCAAACGTAGGTACACCTTGTATAAACAATAACGATGTCATGATTATTCATAATACAAAAATATTTGAATAAACGTTGTAGAAACATCTTTGTGAAATATTTTCCTGGTTATTAATAAAAATTTTTAATAGTATTCCTTGTTTTATTGTCCAGTTGCGTCGTTTGGAAAGGGGGGAGATTAAGTTAAATTGGCTTATTTTAATCGCAGGAAACGTGGTAGCTCCATGTACGCCGAATATTGGAACATACTGTAATTGTTCTATATTTAATGTCCCTAAAATGATACGCCCATGGAATCGAATTCCTCGCACGCAAGGATCTGAATGTGGAGTATGAATAACTGCTAAAATTATAATTTTGAGACTTTGGGATTTTTGGACACGTAATTGTCCATTTAAATCGAAAATTTTCCGAGAAAAACCATGTTTCTCGGTAAATTGAACAGAAAAATTTACAGGATACGTAAATTTTGCCAAGATCTATTTTTTGCAGTGGCTTTTTCGAACCCGCGACCTGCCGCCCCTCGGCCCCGCGTCCCGCCGCCGGAGATGACAGCCACCCCGCCTCTCGCGCCGCCACGTTCCGTCCTCCGCTCAGTGTTCGGCGTGGTCTCGTCCTGTTCACACGTACCGCCTCTCCCAGATCTCTCTTCTCACCCACCACCACCCGACCACCGATTCTGCCACCCCCTCGTTCGCCGCTTCTCCCAGCAGCACAATGAAGACTTCTTCTTTCTCCCTTAGGGTGATGCGGAGGGTAAGCTGCCTCGCTGTTGGATGTCCGTGTGCTTCACACAACGCTTTTGCCAAAAAAAAAAAACAATAAAAAAAATAACAATAACAGCGCATCCTGTTTGTGTGTCTTTTTCTCTTTCTTTCTTTCTGCCAAAACCAGCTTTCGATGTACACTAGGGGCGACAAACTGTATATACACCGAGAGACGTGTTCCTTGCGAAAGGTGCAGGGAGGCCGACGGACACGCTGTATATAAGTATAAGTAGTACGAAATTTAGCTGCCTTACATCACCCACTGCTACATGTTTTGCTTCCACGTCAAAGAATACCTTTGCGCTTGTAGCGAAGTCGATATTTATTGTCACACTACAGACATAAGCTATATGTAAACATCAATAAAACAATATTAATGTGCAGTTGGAGTTATTTACGGAAAATATAAGTGTATATATTCAAATACGGTAGCTGCACCAATAATTTGCCATTATAAACAATACTTCCGAAACATCGTAAAATTCTTGCTACTTTTAAATTTACATCTCAACTTTTAACACCCTTTTAAAATTTTAGCCTAAAAAACTTACAGAATACAAAAATAACTTTAAAAGCCTTTAAAATTTTAAAGGCCTTTAAAATTTCAAGGAATAGTTACAGAATAGACATCTTAGACTTGATAGTGTGATGCATATTATGCACTTTTGGAAGTTCATATTTATGAAATTTCCGCTTCTTCAGAACATAGATACACTCAATTCCATTGTCTTAAAAGAGAGACGCCCCTCTTGTGGAATTATAAATGAACCGTAAGTTCCAGGAACGATTAACTCTCCGCGCGACATCTTTATCCACGGCCTACTCGTCTTTATTAGTAGCAGGTGGGTCATAAAACATAAAGCACACCCTTTTCGTCGGATACACAAGACCCGGAGGAGCTGTAACTGTTTCTCTGTTTAGCTCAGCTTTAGCTTGTTCGACGACAATGTACGACAACTCGCGCTATAGTATTCGCCTCGCAAACTTAGGACTGCTGCACGGTTGGGACATAATGAACGAGCTATACGTGGAACTGCTGTGAGACGTAAATTTGTTTAGGGAAATAATGAATGGGTCTTAAGCGCTCACGTTAATAGAGTTGCTGGGAAAATATAGAGGAAAATGATGTACTTGATGATTGTTTCATGCCTCATAGACTATAACGTTTAAACTCATTATTTTTTGTTCTACATTTAAGTACATTATCATTTTTATAGAAAATTAAATATTTTTGCTGTATTTTCTGTATCTTATTTCAATCTATCAAATAAACTATTACTTGTAAATGAATAAAGAATCATGTCAATCATAGGGCAAGTTTTAAATGCGTAAACATATTTAAAAAGCGGACAGTTTACTTTGTAGAACACGTAATTACTAGTTTTTTATTTGCGAAAAAATACGAACAAAAAATTCAAATCAAATAAAAAATAACTATGCGGCAAAAACCAAGGCCCTTAAATACTTGAAAATTTAATCACATATCTTCAGGGTTCTCAAACTTTCAAACGTTTTTTGAAAAATTCGAATCCGTCAATTAGGAGAGCTCTGGCGCTTGTTTAAACATTGGTCGAATTTTTGTACTTATAAACAATTAAGTAGAATAACTTTGTGAATATTCAATCAAATCAAATTTTTTAAAGCTGGTTTTAAAAATTATTGGAAAGACGCTTCTTTAAAAAAAAAACAGATCGATTGGTCAATTAGTTACGTAGTTATAGCCGATCAAAGTTAACCGTCATTTACACTAAATGTACTGGGATATCCAGGCTAATTTTTCGAAAAATACCTTTGGTATTACGAGTACTTACCAGGTCTAAGTTTGCAATACTTTTCTTCATTGGCAACCTACTTTAAAACGTGTTTAAAGTTATTTATGCAAGCGAGAAATTCAATAAAATCGTACGGGTGGTGGTGGTGGGGGAAGCAGAGAGCGCGGCCGCTTCGGCCTGCTCGAAATTGAATCGGCTATAACTATGTAACCAATTGATCAATCGATCTTTTTTTTTTTTTTAAAGAAGCGTCTTTCCAAGAACTTTTAAAACCTGCTTTAAAAAATTTGATTTGATTGAATATTCACAAAGTTATTCTAATTGTTTATAAGTACAAAAATTCGACCAATGTTTAAACAAGCGCCAGAGCTCTCCTAATTGACGGATTCGAATTTTTCAAAAAGCGTTTGAAAGCTTGAGAGCCCTTCTATATGTGATTAAATTTTCAAGTATCTAAGGCCCTTGGTTTTTGCTGTGCAAAATTTTGAAAATTTGCAGTTTTTTAGTCAAAATCTGGATTACAAAATTTGATGTGATGACTCTACATAACATGAACTTTTCTTGAGCCAAGTATGAAAGTCCTATACCCAACTTAAAGACCCCAAAAAAATTCCCTAAAAGGTAATGTTTTTTAACCACATTTTTGACGATTTTTTCCATTTTTACAATAATAATCATGATTCATTCGATTTGTAACTAGTCATATTTTGTAAAATTTAATTACAAACATTTTTTCCCCTTCCATCTTCGCCTAAAATCAACTCTTGAAAGATACATAATTAAATAGGAAAAAAAGTATGACATTTTTTGAATTTTATTAACATATCGTGCCGTCAAAAGTTAAGCCCACGTTTTTTATGCGCATAGAAAAATTTGACTCTTTCAAA